AGAAAAGCAATAAAGCTGACAGAACAACAAAAAGCAGCAAGGAAATTCAGCACAGTTCGCAAATAAATTTTACCTTGTTCTTAGTTCTTGGATCAACTTCAGCTCCATTTTGATTCAAATTCGCTAGCTCTTCCCATTTGAGTATATTGCTCACAACCTGTAAGGGAATGAGCTGAACAAAATGACTAACCTGTTTTCAGCTTCCAGTCACTGCACAGTTTTTTCATAGCCTCAAACTTCTGAGCATTTTTGGCAGTATTTTAAATGAGGTATTTAATTGTTTGATGACTTTGCTGAGCTGTATTTTTTAATGCTCTGCGCCAGTCACATGTTTTGTGACAGGCAGTCTTTTTTTTAGAATTGTAAAATATATCTTCTTGCTAAAAAATACAAAAAAATTTTTTTTTTTGTTCTTTCGTCACTATTTTTTTCTCCTTCAAGAATACTTTTTCAGAATAATAAAAATCCTTAAGAATACTGTGAGCTCATGTTAAATTCTTCAAGAAACCTGTTGCGGATAAATATTCTTTTATTTGTTTTTTTTAGTATTTCAGTTCTACAAACCGAGAGGATAAGAAAAGCAATAAAACTGGTGGAACAATAAAGAGTAAAAACAGAATTCAACGTTTCTTGCAAATAAATTTTACCTGTTTCCTACCACGTTTAACTAGATATTCTATAAGACCACTGCTCTTTAGATCGTTCCACGTAACGTGTAGCGATGTATTCTAAGCAAGATGACTGAACTGTTTTCAGTTTCTAGTTACTGCGCAGTTTCTCACAGCCTCAAACTTTTGAGCATTTTCAGCGGTATCTTAAACAAGGTATTAAATTTTTTGACGATTTTGTTGAGCTGTAATTTTCAATGCCCTATGCCAGTCACATGTTTTCTGACAAACAATTTTTTTTTTTTTAAATTGTGAAATATATCTTTCTTTTAAAAGATATTAAAGAATTTCTTTTTTAATTTTTATCATAGTTTTTTCTCTCTCCTGTTTTCATACTTTTTTCATCATGCAGTATTTGAAGGCTGTTTTTTTTTTTTTTT